ATTCTCACACCACCATGAGCAGGTAGGTACTATTTTTATGTTGATAGTGGGGAAAAATCTAAGGTATCAAGGCATTTGAGGATTTGTCCAAACTCTTGAAAGAGGGCAATTAAATGTCGTGATAGTAGGCGAGCTCTTGAAGAGAAACAGGGATTCCAAGACAGACGGTGGCAGTTCACACGCAAGCTTTCTGCTCTGCTCTCCACGCAGGATGGGCAAATCTTAGGCGGGTCATCTTTTCATCATGACCTTCTCTTCTCTGAAGGGCCAGTAACACCTTACTAAGTTCATAGACAGTGAAATAAGACACAAAGATATTTCACTGTCCGAGAAGGATTTTTCCACAGAAGTTGCCGACAATAGAACATATTGTCACCCCACAAATGAAACGCACCAAGGGGTAAGGGGACAGACAGTGATGCACAGCAAAAGCTGTAAGCACCATTGCACAGGTCTGCATCGCAAACACATTCTAATGTAGATAATTCTTTTTCATTCATTTTCAAGCACTTATTTCATTTACATAAGTCCAAGGCCAATAAATCTCGGCATTAAGGTTGACTTGATGTGTGATGCAGACAGTCTAATTAAGGAAAGGGTATTTTATCAGCTATATAAATTTTCTTTTCTTTGGTCTACAATTTTTTATACTGGGTTGATCTTTTTTTTATTCATAAGGGCTTCATTCCAATCCTTCATGGCTGCATTAACTGGGCATCTAATGAAGACTTGGATATAGAAGTCTGCATCTCATTTATACTCAACAGCAAAATTAATAAAGTAGCAGGAAAATAGCTTCCTACACTGGAACTTCTTTAGCTAACCCTGAGTCATCTAAAATATAATTTGGTTGTGTCTTACGGAACTGGGGCTCAGCCATAAACTTTAGGAGACAGTGCCCAACTTCACCCGCCATCCACTGACAGCCCAACTCATTACTTGGAGAGGCTTGGATCAGAGTGGCCAGGAGCCCATTCTCCCCTCTATACATATTTAGTAAGCACCTTCGGTAGGCCACTAAACAAGGCTACAAAACAGACTCAAGCAGGTCGCAGTCAGGTGGATCATGCCACCACTGTAGGCCAACGTAAGAAAAATATCTTAGCCTGGAATCAAGGCTGGGAGCAAGCTGGAAAGATTATCTGCTCTATCCTTTTGCCTCTGGGAGGGTGACCCTCTCAAGCAGTTTTTCTGTTAAGAGCTTCCAAATGTTGGTGCTATCACTGACATTGACTTTGACTTGCAGACTTTATGGATATATGAGTACATTGGCTTTCCAAGGCTGTCCTAACAAAGCACCACAAACTGAGTGGCTTAAATAACAGAAATGTGTTGTCTCACAGTCCTGGAGGCTTAGAAGTCCAAAATCAAGGTGCTGGCAGGGTCGGATATGAGATCCGGACTGGACTCTAAAACCCTCTCCCATTCCTGGTGCTGGGTTGCTGATGAAGTAAGAGAAGCCGGTCAGGATGAGGCTGCACCCTTCACGGCAGGGTGATCTTCAGCAAGTACTGATCTTCTGAACCTCGGGACTTTTTAACTGTAAAATGAGGACAGTGACAGCAGCTATTTCAAAAAGGCTGTGAGGACTAATAAAGCCTGTGGATTTCCTGGCACACAGTCATCACTTCCTGTGTATGAACTGCTAATCGTCTTATTGTTGTTATTAGCAGAACTCAGGCTCCGGATCTAGGACTCAGCTCACAGGTGTGTTCACTATCAGGAGGGAGGACTAGACGCCCCCCCCGCATTGGGTAGCTCACCTGGAGAGCTGCTTTAGCTGGCAAGACTCTTGTGAACCTTGTGACATGACTTTCCCCATCTCTACTTTATCCAATCCCATCCTATTCCTCCTAGCTCACTTGATTCATGTCATCACAGTTAGGGCTAGGATTTCAGGAGATATTTTTTTTCTCACTGCATTTTATAATTTTTATACCAAAGAAAAGTGTAATAAAACATGTAGATATGTCATTTAACACAGCTCTATAGAGCAGCTATGTAAAGCCAGGCCTGTAACCTCATGAGCACTCATACGAGACTGCCTGGGGCTATAGCAATCATTTGGCTCTCACCTTCACTGAATCATTAGTTATTTTTTAATGTGTGTCCTCACCTAGATTGTAAGCAAGTTGAAGAAACGATCTGAATCTTCTATTTAGATTTAACAAAGCTTATTTACTTACTCCCACAATGCACCATCCGCTCATGAGATATGAAATATCTCAGATACTCCTCCCCACAACCTGATGAGGCAATTAACGGTACTGACGTATCACAGATGAGCCCGAGGCTCAGAGGTCACGTAGCTAGGCAATGGCCAAGCCATGATGCAATTCCACCTCTGTCTGACTCCGAGGCCACTAAACTAGCATAGTGCTTCCTCATCAAGCGGTACCAACTCAGCGGATCTGGGAACCTCCAGCCTGAGCAGGGTTTTCTGTGGCCTTGGTGCCCCCTGGTGGCACATGAGGACTCATTTCCCCAGCCAGGCTTCTGGTTTGTTCCATGCAGCCCTGTTGACCTTAAGCACTTGAAGGAGTGACCAATGGGGTCGGCCCTGGGGTAACAGAGCCCTCTGCCTGCAGGGGAGAGCTAGACCCTCTACCAGAGCAATACTTCTTAAATGGACCCCCAGGAAGAGTCTGCTCCTGATAAGTCAAGGAGGTGGGGTTAGGGTCTTGGGCCAACAGCAGTGAGATGACCTACAAGGCCTGGTTCCCCGCATCCTGCCTCCCATTTCCCACTTCCAAGTCAGGACATGTGGGCAGCGGGCAGTGGCGTTCTCCGCTGGATCCTCCTGGGGCTTTCATTTTCCATGAGCTTGTTTATGGAGGAGATAAAAAAAGAAGATAAAGATGGTGAAAGTTCTCAAGTCAGAGGTTCTTTATCTTACACAGAGTCCGTTCCCAAAAGACCCATCAAGATTTGTCAGTAAATATTTATTAGATTCCTACTGTACTCTGCAACCTCCAGAATGCAGAAATGGAGAAGATACTCTTCCTGTCTTTGAAAAATAAAAAATTACAAGTACTTTAATAATGGGTGTCACGAGATTTTTCTTGTCACCCCAGAAATGGTTATTAGCACTCAAAACGGAGACTAAAGAATCATCAAAACCCCATAAATTGAAGAAAGTAGAAAACAGTACGAGTCAGACACTTCCTCCAGCCATCAGCGCAGCCCCAGAACCTCCCCAGTTCATGTAAGCGGCTCCCTCGGGCTACCAGCCCAGGCCCAGGGGCAAAACAGCAAAGAGGTAGAGAAACGGTAAAGGTCCTGGCGTAGCCTGCCTTTCCGCTCCAGTGTGACAAGGATGTTTGGGCCAGCAGTCTTCTTCCTATGCTCATTTTCCACTCAGAGGCCTTCCTTACAGCTTAAAAAGTGATCACCAGCTTTTCTGAGAATCCTTTCATCATTGACCTGGCTTTGAGATCATCAGAGATACCTTGGAGCTGCACCGGCCAATATCGTAGCCACTATCCACATGAGCTTTTGAGCGCTTGAAATGTGCTATCAGTGGAAAACACACACGAGATTCTGAACATTTAGTTGCGGGGTGGGGGCGGTGTAAAATATCTCAGCCCTATTTTACAAATCGATTACATGTTGAAATGATGATATTTTGGACATATTATTTGGATAAGTAAAAATATATCATTAAAATTAATTTTACGTGTTTTACTTTTTAGTGTGGCTACCAGATCATGTAAAATTACAGATGTGGCTCATATAACATTTCTATTGGACGTCACTGCTGGGGAGGTTGAAATCTCAGAGCTGAGAAGTCCTGGTCCAGCAAAGCTTTACACCGCCTTGGACCACAAGGGGGCGGTACTGCAGTGCCCACCCGGCGCCCGCAGGACTTTGACCGGAGGCAGGCTGGCTCCCCACATTTTCTAATGCTGTCTTTTAAGGGTAGTTTTAAACTGCTTTTTCTAAAATGTAAATGGTTCATACTATGTTACCCCTAAGTTAACATAAGTAATAATTTCTCTAGGGCAGGAGTCCAAAACTCCTGAATTACAACATTCAAGACTGGAATTTTAAGGAAGCTGCAAGTTTCACTGTGGGGAAAGAACTATGAGCAAATACCATAAGCAACCCCATTGCACATTAGTAAGGGGTTGGTTAAATCAACTAAGGTGCAGCTATAATATGGAATCTTTTGTAACTATTACAAAGGCTGTATGAATACTTCTAGATATGGAAAGACACTTGGGCTAAATTCTGTAAAAAACGGCCAGCTGCAGAATTCTATGTCCAGTATGTATGTCAATTTTGCTTTAAAAAGAAAACCATATCAAAAGCATACATTTGCAAAGACAGGGTGCTGAAAGGATAGTTTCCAAGGGATTAATAGTCTCTAGACAAAGAATATGGATGACTTTCGTTCCTTATTTTTATAACGGCTTTTATAACTAAAAATTTTGTTATTTTTAAGTTGCCCTACCCAGTCTTCTGTAAAAGGGCCACCTTCTTTCGCAAATTATCCTGAGCTCTGGCCAAAGGAAGAACCAATGTCTTCGTTAAAATCCCGACACTTTCCCAATGCGGAGCTGAGGTTTTCAACCTTGTTCCATCTCGTCCTCTAACCCCGTGTGCATGTCGTTTCCCCTCTAGGTTGTGGACCCCTTCACCGGAGCCCTCTGTCGCTTCTCTGTCCCTGCCCCACCGCCCGGTTATGGAAAAACTAATACAAGATCGGGCTGACGTTTCAGAGCGTTCGAACTGGAACTCAAAGCTTACATCCCTGAAACAACGTGACCGGCCAGGAACCGAGGCTCTGAGGACCCACTAGCTGCAGACTTCTCTCCTGAGGGGGACAACCTGCGCCGCCTGTTTCCAGGTGGAGCCCGGCGCGGGTCCCCTCACCGGTCACCGCTTGAGTAGCAGCACCTCGGTCCAGCTTGCGCGGTGGGAGGGAGCGAGCGCTTCCTCAGCGTACACATCGCGGAGGTTGAGCCTCGAAGTTTGGCCCTTTGGAGGCGCCGTCCGGGCCTGCGTCCCGTTGTGTCATGTGATCCGGGAGCGCAGGAGGCCGGTGGCAGAGGAGGAAGAGACTCGCTGCGGGGTCTGGGGCCCGAGTGGACAGCTGGCGGGATGGAGGCTACCTTGGAGCAGCACTTGGAGGACACGTGAGTCATGCGGCCTCTTCTGACTGTCCTGAGCTCGCAGAGCGGGGATTTGAGCGAAACAGAGGGCGCAAGTTGTGAGTGCCGGGCGGGCGGGTTGGGGACGCCGCGCGACCCCCAGGCGGCTGAGTCAGGCGGTGAGCCCTGTCCCGGAGACGCAGAGGGGACCGGTGGCCTGGAATTAAAATCTCTCCAGGACTCCTTTGGAGCGAGTCTCTGCAGCCCGAGCCGGTGGTCAGAATCGCTCGTCATGTTGAAATTGTCCGGGCAGGGTTGTTCTTTGCGAGGTTCAGGAAATGAATTTGGGGTAAAGATGTACCCACCTGTGCAGACAGGCCCTGCAGTGTAAACATTAACACACATGCCCATCTCCTTCCGTGTGTAACCAGTTACTTGGTGATTCCGACTATGAAAGGCATCTTTCCTGTTTTTTGAGCGAGGACTAGCTACGTAAAATTCAAACGGCTTACAGGGAAACAGCTCCCTCGCACCAGTGCCCCTCAGCTTCCCGGAACTTCCTCTCCAGGAGGCAGCCGTGTTCCTTAAGAGTTTTTCAGCAGTTATTTCAAGTGAGTTAGTACGCTAAAGCATGCGCTTTAACGAGGCAACAAATCCTAGTTATTGCAATGTTTGTGGCCCTCTAAAGTTCCCTGGCACATAATCTTTTCCCTCAGTAGAGAGAAACGAATTTAACTATTTCAATTAGTTGATTGCAATTTAATTTTTCTTGGGGTAGGGCGATGATAATGAAAAATGGTTGAGAAACACTGATTTAAAGCACTTAAAACAATGTCCGGTACGTAGAAAGCCTATCTGTGTTATAAATATTTAAATTTATTTTCTTACATCATCTGTTTCTGGAAGTAGAATGAAGAATCCATCCATCGTTGGAGTCTTGTGCACAGATTCACAAGGACTCAACCTGGGCTGTAAGTATCTCCCATCCGTCCTTTGGTGGGTGGGGTTGCACGGCATTTGATGTTGACTAGGAGCCCAGTGTGCTGTTATTCTCTAGTTTTTATTCCTGTTACCCTGCCACTTTCTGGGTACTTTTGTGAGAGTACAGATTATCTCCAAGTAACAAGGTTAGAAAATTGAAATTTATGAAGGTAGAAATGTTTCTTGTAGTTCTAGCACTGTACAGTTGTTTCTACTAAAATAGTATTTGACTCATTTTAAATTGGGTCTAGAAAGGACTTCGGATAATGACAGCAGTTAACAGTTATTAAATGTGTGCCGTATGCTCGGACTGCTCGGCTTTGTATACCAGTCTCTGATTTTCCCAATCATCCTGCAAGATGGCTGGTGCTTTTTTTCATCTAACTACACTTAACAGTGAGTAGGCAGTAAAAACAAGGCTTAAAAGTTGAACACACCTGGGTTCAACCTCCTGCTGTTCTGTTTGCTGATATTGTGAACTTGGACCCCAAAAAAACTACCCCCCCCGCCCCCGCTCAGTTTATTTACTGGGCTGTTTAATAATTATTATTGAATTGCATTTATTGAATTTTCACTATGTATCAGGCATCATTCTAAGTTCTTTACATATACCAGGTCATTTAATCCTCATAAGGTAGGTAAATTAAGTGGTTGAGCTGGGATTTGAGTCTGGCTCCAAAGCCTCTTAATCACAATACTATAAGATTATATAATGTGTGTAAAACACAGCACAGAACCCAGGCATAATGCTCAATAAATGGCAACAATTACAGATGAGGAAATAAATCCAGAAATCTAAATAACTAAAGCATTCAGCTGATTAATGTCAGAACTAGTAAGCCTAGGATCCTTTAGTCTTTATTCTTCTTTACTGCAGGACTTATAAAAGCTGTGAATTTTTGCAGGGAGAGTGACTGAAAGAGGTAATACATGTAACTCAGTTAGGTTTTATACACAAATCAGTTGGGAGAAAAAAAGGCATATGGGGTGGGGGAGGGGGCCAGGGCGCTTGCCAGGCTTAGTAATGGAAAGGCTTAGTAATGGAAAGGCTCAAGTGAGGAAATCTAAAACTAAATAAGTTCCTTCAAGGCCTGAAAGATTGCACTGTGTCTGTCCAGTTAATGTTTTACTGGACAGACACAGTGCAGATTGCACTGTGTCTGTCCAGTTAATAGATTTACTATCTATCAGTTCTGTCATAGTGCATGTCTGTTACCTGACTTAGTTTCAGGCAGGTAGGCTTATGTTGCCTTTATATGTGGAATATATTGTAAAGTAAACTTAGTAATTACTTTTTGTACCTGACACCTAAGATTTAGTTACTATCTTCGGGCTAAAACAAGCATTAATAAAAAGTCAATTCTGTTGAATTTGAAAATAGCCAGCTTATTCTAGTGGAAATAATTGCTCCCAGAATCTCCACATATGCTGTCAAGGTGATCTTACAACTGAACTCCTGAATAAAGATTTTTATACCTTTTGAGGTTGAGCTCAATAAAAGGAAATCAGATTTCCCATGAGGAATTAGTTTCAACAAGTCTCTTGCCCTTATTGACTGCTTTTTGTCAATCTCACCTCTGAATTTCTTGTTGGTTTCATCACAGTTCCTATAAAATGAATTTATGACTTTCAGATTGACTTGAATTACAGCTTCCTTATATGCTTGAGAACATGTTTAGAGATGGTAATGGGAATGACTTTCAAAGTTGAGTGTCTGTTATGGCTTTACTGATTTAAGAACTGTTGTCTGGCTTTCTCACTGATGTAACTAGCTAAGTACCACCAGAGCAAAACCATTTCATGTCAGTAACTAACCTAAGAGACCATGAACTAAACCTTTTTGTGAATAATTCAATGAGAAATACTCCTACAGCTCTGTACTCATTTTTGGACAGTCGGGCAACATGATGTCATCTCTGTCTTCTAGGCCGTGGGACTCTCTCAGATGAGCACGCTGGAGTGATATCTGTTCTAGCCCAGCAAGCAGCTAAGCTAACCTCAGACCCCACTGATATTCCTGTGGTGTGTCTAGAATCAGATAATGGGTGAGTAGATGTCAGCAGATCCCATCCTTTCCTTTTTACTTGGAAAAGTTCCTGGGAAACGTGCCTGGGGCCTGCCCTGTGTTCATCAGTGATTCCTCGTTCAAAGTGCTGATAGGACCACGGGAGCAGATAGATTGATCTGTGAAGCTAATGTGCTCAGACTAGTTCCATGTAAATGAAAAGGAAGAATTATGAACTATCAGTCTGTCAAGAAAAAGTATAAGAGGGAAACCGTTCAAAACAGAAACTACTTCTGTAGTAAGAGAAACACTAAAGATATTCCAAGCGAGAGTCCTCAGAATATTCTAATAGTGACAAAAGCAGAATACAAAACTATATACAGTATAATCATAGTTTTGTAAAAAAAAAATATATGTAAATAGTATATATGCAGATTTTAAAAAACAGGAAAATATTAATCGTGGTTGTCTCTGAGAGGCAGGATTATAGGATTCATTTCATTTTTATATCTTGTACTTTTCTGTATTTTTCAAATGTTTTGTTGTATTCATATGGCGCTTTTATACATAGAAAGATGATATATAGAGTCCTAAACCAAACAGCATCTGTAATCTTACACTGACTCCCACTTGTACAATGTTTTATGGATTATCTTCTGCTTTGCCTTTCAGGAACATAATGATTCAGAAACATGATGGCATCACAGTGGCCGTGCACAAAATGGCTTCTTGACATCTCACATCAGTTTTCCAGCAACCTGTCATAGGGACTCAATCCCACCTGTGTTAATTATCGTACAGACTGTTGAAGTTTAAGTAGTTAGGCCATTCATTTAATGTGCATTGTGTACTTCTCTCTTGGTTTTAGAACAAACTGCTTTTTAACACTATGGACTGACTTATCAAAATATTAACAAAGGATCACGTTTGGAAGCAGCAGGTCCAGGTCTCTTTGTATATAGAATTTTCTTATGTTCAATAAATTTGGTTGGAAGAAAGCTTGGATCTTTTCTGGATTCTTTAAATTCATCAAATATTCATTTTTCCATTTCTAATTTTTTTTTAAAAAATGTCTTTGCTCCAGATTACTCTTCTTTTTCAGAAGCTTCCTGAAATACATATAGTTCCACAGAAGTGTCCGTGGATATTTAAAACAAAGTATATTCCTACCCCATAATATTAACATAATAGCTAATATTATTAAGAGCTTACTATATGCCAGGAACTCATTTAACTCTCATTAGTAACCCTACACAGTAGGTGCTCTTATTTGCCCCATTTTACATTTGTGTAACTATGACCACCGGGTTAGCAGTCACCATTTGGACTTGAGAGTCTGACTCAGAGCCTGTACTCTTAACACCCAGATCACTATAGAAACAGGTGCGTTTGGCCAGAAAATAATCTGCCATTTGAAAATACAGAACATTATCTTTTCTTCAACCTTTATAATTAACAACAGAATGGAGCACAACAGGCACGAAAGACCTCATTTCGTTGAATTTGAATGCAGTTCCTGTTGCTCCTTAGCAATTTAATATTTGACAGTATAAAAAAACTCCAGAATATTAGTATTTATTTAAAAATGACAAGTATCTACAAATAAAAGGTGCTATCGAAGATAAAGACTTTGAGTAAGACATGGCTCCAGCCTTTGAGCTTATACTTTGATAGGATATGCGTGTCGTCTTCACCATACCAATACCTGACGTGTCATGTACATGTTTTATTGTGTCTTCCCCACTAGTACAGACACTTTGAGGCCAGGAGCTGTCTTATTCACAGATGTATTCCAAGCACCTAGAACAGTCCTAGCACATAGTAGGCACTGAATAAATACTTGCTGAATAGATGAATATATAACAAGTAAAAAGGAGTTTCTGGTATGTACTGGGCCTTTCCAGGCAGAGGGAGCAGCAATGACAAAACAGGTGATAAACCAAAAGCTGCAAGGTAGGGCAACTACTTCATCCTTGAATATCTGCTTTTTAAGAATCCTAGGCCTTATCCTGTTAGTAGAATTGGGCTCAGAGCAAGTGAGTCAAAGTTGAGCTTTCAGATTAATCTGAGGTACAGCAAGCTCATTTTTTCCAAGGAGAAAAACTTTCTTTTGCTTACCTATGTATCTCCAATTCCTAACCCAAAGTAATGAGAGCCAACCTTTAGTGAGTTATTGCTGCATTCTAGATAATGACTAAGCAATTTACATGCATTTGGCTCATTTTATACTCTCATGCAGTATTATCACCATTTTAGAAAGAAATAGGCTCAGCAAGATAAAGTAGCTCAAGATCAAACATGAGACTAAAAATTAAGCAAATTGGCAGAAAAAGAACAAAAGAGAAAGATGACTGAATTGTCTAGGTGATAGGAAGAACTGAGTGCCTTAGGAGTCAACACAGGAAGGATTACAGAGAAAAACTGGCTGGGCTTGATTTTAGATGTTGAAATTGAATATCTGATAGACATCCTGGTGGTGATGCTGAGTAACAAACGTGCTGGGTGCTTGCTATGTACCAGGCGCAGCGCTAACCCTCCAGGGGCCTCCCACTGCATTCAGAACAAAATCTGAAGTTCTCACCAGGGTCTCCCAAGCTGGGCATGACCCAGCCCTTGTGCCACATCTCATGCCACCTGCTGTCTACACATACCCCTGTCTAGCAGTGGCTGGCATATAGAAGACAACTTTATTGAATAAAATGAATAAATGAACATGCTTTCTTATTTATTCTTAAAAACAATCTTTGAGGTAGGGTGTAATGTACCCAATTTTATTAATAAAAGAAGACTTGTGCTGGAAAGAGCTCAGGGCTGGGGAAGGCTGATTTTCCAGTCTGTACAGAGCTGAAGCTAAAGTAGGATTGCATGGGTGTTTCCCCAAGACCACTCCTGTGATGGTTAATCTTAAGTGTCGACTGGGCCAGAGGTTATCCAACTATTCGGTTAAACATTTTGTCTGGGCGCATCTGTGCCTGTGCTTTGGATGAGATCGGCATTTGAATCAGTGGACTAAGTAAAGCAAATTGCCCCCCTCAGTGTAGGTGGGCCTCAGCCAACCCACTGAAGACCAGAACAGAATAAAAGGCTGAATAAGAAAGAAATCTTTATCTCTTCCTGTCTTCGAGATGGAACGTGGATCTTCTTCTGCCGATGGATTCAAGCTCAGACCAGAACTGCTCAGACCAGAACTGCACCATCAGCTCTGACTGCAAATCTTGGACTTCTCAACCTCCGTAATCACACAATCCAATTCCTTACATATATGATCTCCAAAGTTTTTTTATTGGAGGCTGATTACACAGGCACCCTCTCCCTAGAATTGGCTCAAAATTCTAGACTCCCAGAAGGAAAGCAAGTGTTCACCATAAACCATATTGTTTGCATTAATAATTTAGGCACAGTTGTCTACTCTTATAATTTAGAAAATGGTGGAAACCCTCTTAAAATCTAAGTTCCCCGTTGCCAGCCAAAGGGGAACCTTGTAAGCAAGACTTTCAAAGGACAAGAGTCTCGGGCCAGCTATGTTGACTTTTCTGTACCAAGATTCAACAAGGACAGGGAAAGATTCAGCTAAAAATAAAATCTTTTCATTCTAAATGCTAAAAATTATTCATGGGCTGTATTTGACAGTACAGTGAGGATAATAGTGTGGACTTAGGAAATCAAGTTGCAGGTCTTTCTGAATGACTTTAGGGCCAAGAATGAGAAGGTTAGACATTAAGGGAATTATTTATGTTTAGTTAAATAATTTGACTTAACCCAAAAGCTTTAAGTCAATTGGGTAGAGATGCCAAAAGGTTAACTAATATCCCAGCTGTGGCATAAAGATTCTTTGCTTTTGCTATTAGGCCCCACCTGATTAATAAGAACCATTTTTCGTGAATTAAGTATCAATAGTGGGTCTGATAAGAAACAGTCATATATATTTAGTCAATCCTCACAACAAACTTGCAAAGTAATGTTAGCCACATTTCACAGGTATGGAAACATACTAAGACTGGGTAACTGGCCAAAAACCTTCAGGCTTTAAAAATAAGTTGAGATTCTAACCAAGTCTGCATTTCCCGCTATACCTCAAAGATTCCTCTATGAAAGATGTTTCAAGGGGTTCATCTCTGAGGACTTTACAGCCCTCCTACTCTCTATGAATGGCTGGCTCATTGTTCTGCCACATTGCAAATCCAACCCCAGCCCTCAGCATCAGAGCTCTCGATCAGTATAAAGCTTAGCCTCGTCTCACCCAGAGCTCAAAATCATAGGTAGATAGTCCTGCTTTAAAAGAGCAGAGAACATCCATCAAAAAAAAAGAAAAAAAAAAAATCAGTCCTACAGATATTCATTAAAAAATGATTTCCAGAGTATGTTCATAACTACAAACAACACTCTGAAAAGTATTCACCTTCTCATTTGGAGTTTTGCCCTCCGCTGAAGGTTTGTTCGATCCTTACCACCAGCACCACAATCTTTTCCATCACTACAGGGCATCTTCCCAAACCACTCAGCTGTGCTTCTGCTCGCACTTGAATCAAGTTTAGTTTTAAGAGCCTGAGAAGACCTGTACTTAAAAACATGCAAAAATATGTGATTTCCCAGATAAAAGAAGAAAAACATACTTTGGCCTAAATTACGCTCTGGTTTAAAACCTGGAATGTTGATGCTGGGAGATGAAAGGCAATTTCCTGTTGATTTTTTTTTTTTTTTTTTGAAGTGGAGGGTGGCACAGAGGAAAGAAATGGAATAAGAAAGCTGAATCATCCCAGTAATTTTCTAGGCAACTCAGCCTAAATCATTTCCAAAATGCAATAAGAAAAAAAATTTCATTAAAATTCAAGTATATACCTTCTCTGGGAGGAGTCTGGCATTAAGGTAATCAAGTATTTCAAAAAAGCAATTAGAACGGGGCTTGGAATTTCAAATTATTACCCAGAATATTTAGTCAGTACACAAAGGTCACACAAATGGGTCAAACTTCCTGAAGATTGTGATTTGGAGCCCAGGGAACGTATCTGCCAACTCTGGGAGGGTGGTCTGTTTTCTCCTATACGATAAGCATGCCGAGGGCCTCCCTGAGGACCAGTAGAGGCATGGGTATCAGTGCCTGGAGCACAGTGTTAAGATAAACTGAGGCATATTAAAAATTGTAAGAACTTATTTGAGCAAAAATCGATTTGAACCGGGCAGCACCAAATGGGAAGTGGTTAAGAGCACTCCACCGACAGGAGCTAGGGGAAAGTTTTCATATAGAAAAGGTAGAAGACAAGCAAGGAAATTATTGATTGGCTATAGCTTAAAGCCTGGTTGGTCGTTTGTAATTGGTTGGCCTTAGGTTTTGAGTTTGGAACCTTGAGGCATTTACAGGCATAGATCGGGGTTTGTTCATACAGGCCACACCTCACAGGGTCACCTCAGTGTAATGACCTCGTTTAATTAAACAGTAGGTACCAGAGGATTTTCTACTTGGTTTACTCCAGTGTTTACTTTTGAGCCTACCAATGAAAAACTCTTACCTTTCAAGTCAGGGTGGGTGGAGGAAGGGCCCAGGATGATGTCAAATCACAGCCTTTCCCCTCCTCAGGAAGTAAAGTCCACTGGCCCGAGAGCCTAAATTGGCTCTGACTTTCTGGGTCCTTACAATGCTCACTTGTTTTCACAGTGCAGAGGAATGAACTGCTTTAAAAAAAACAGTGATATTCTAGAAAATTGTATAGTTTAGTTTTCTTTCCGGAGTGCTTGCTTCATCTGTGGAGGGATTCCTTTGCTGACCACCACGTCAAAGGTAAGATGAAAACAGGGCTGTGTCAGGGTTGGTTTTCTATAACATTCGGAATGACCGGCTTCTCTCCCAGCCCAGCCAGCTCCCCAGATGGCCATTCCACATGCCCTGCCCGCAGTCTCCTTTCCAGGAAAGAAACAGCCTGCCTGTCAACCTGACAGTGGGAAATAAAGAATGCTATACTCCTTCCTCAGAACATTTACATTTTCTTTTTTGCTCTTTCTCTTTATAAATTTTTTTTTTACTCAACCATTTATTTATAAGAGGTAGCAGACTCTGTGGTCTATCACACTTCGCTCCTGAATACTTTTTAGCACATTCTCCCACAGAACTACAAGACCACCAACACACCTGAGATCTAACTTTGTCTACCATACAGTCCATTTTCAAATTTCCCCTACTGACCACCTAAAGTCCTTTACAATTTTTTTTCAGGTCCAGGATCCATTCAAAGAACAGTTGTTCCATTCTGTTGTCATGTCTATTTTTAGTCCTTTAGAATATCATCATTTTAGCAAGTGCTTTGGAAAGGGAATTCCCAAACCCGAGGCTCCCCTTCCATTTTTTATTTCTCTAAGTCAAGAGCTCATCCAAAGGACCAGAGGGTGAGGCACGGCTTCCCCTGGGATTTGACCTGCAGACCTGGGCAGAAGCCAGAGGCCACTCCACCATCAGAGGTCAGGCTTTGCAGTTAACTCCCTTGCAATTCCTGCCTAAAATAAAATGAGTGGTCATCCTAATGCTATTCAAACTGGTGATAGAAAATTTTCTGTAGTGGCTTTGAAGTCTCTCAAATCACAGCCTTGCATTAGCTCTTCTTACTTCTCCCATGGTTCTGTCTGGATTGTGATTGTAGAATAAACAGGGATAAAGGGACATTATAGTCACACAGACTTTGATGCGTAACTAAGGCCATACTTCAAGGGAATGGTCAAAGCCACGTGGACTTGCCAGGGGAAGTCAGGCAGTGGGCCTCCAGAAAAATCCCCAAAGATGGTAAAAGTCCTGCTCGCATTTTTAAGGTTGAGATCAGAGTCTATAAACAACTTTAGAAACAGGTGGAAATCATCTATTAAAGGGTGAGATAAAAATAAAAATTACAGTATAAGTGGTTTTAAACCATAGAGAAAAAGAAAGAAGTTTAGAAGTTTAGATCCGTTTCCTGTCAACTGAATCAACTATGTCTTGGATTCATCACAGGGATCTCCTGCATTTGGAGGAAGCATCATGCTGAAGAGGGAGGGGAAGGCCCGGCCTTACACTAAAGCCCTGGATGGAGGTTGGGGATGGATGATTGTGTTTCATTTCTTCCTGGTAAGAATTTCCCTTTCCTACTGCCTGAAAGAGGGCACTCTGGAGAAAGGCTCCAAGCAGCCTAACAAGATCACTTATGAAATCCTCCGCATTCTAATGGATAGGGGGCAGAGCAAGGCCAGAAACCACCAACAGCTGCTTAAGTCAGTGGCCCACAATGAGCCCATGAGAAAGTTAAAAACATCCACCTTGAGTGAAAGCAGCAGCATTCCCACCCTCTCTCCTCCTCTTCCCTGTCATCCCTCAAAACCAGAGAATGTTCCAGTTACATCAACAGCTCTGCCCTGGCTGCATGACAATCAGGCTCTGGGGACAATCATGCCTTTACCTGTCCCAGAAGCAGCCCCGGGAAGCACTGAAGAGCGCTTTGGGTGGCTTCTCCTCAGCTCAGCACGCAGGTCACACTGCTGGCAGCTACCTCCTTCACCAAAGGGGATGGGGACATTTCCTCTGTTCTTCCTGCTGCTCACTTCCCAACCCACCCCCACCAGCCACAACCGACACTAGAATTAGGCCCAATGGGTATTTTCCGTGTCTGGAAAGGGAAAGGATATGGATTCTGAAACTGGAGCCTGATTTTTTTCCCCTTCATCCATAAGCAACTGGATCGGGCGCTCTTTTTGTTTGTTTTGGGCACTCCATTTTAAATGAACTTCTTTTCCTCATCCTCCCAGAAGCCCTTGGGGTCGTTGCTGGCGATCTGAATCGTTAGCATGGTCATTCTAGAATACCGGTGAATCCTATCACGACTATTCCCTTAACTACCCTGCACTGACTGGCACTAGACTAGCTCCAATTCCTCCTGTGTCTCTAAAGAAGTTGTGTTAACTCTGAGATGTGCTCACAAAGGCACCCTTTCCCTCCCTGCCCAGCCCTACAGTAA